GAGATAAGAAACTTTGAGATAAGCTTGTTGAGTGTTTGTTTAATGCTCATATATTTTCCAAAGGCTCATGCAGCTGGAGACGTGTTGGCTATATAAGTGAGTTTTTCCCATTTTTTCATAACTTGAATTTTAACCTTTTCCTGGCATGGCGAGGTGGGATCAACAGAAAAGTGCACCACAGTTTAAATGTATAACTGTGGGAATTAGAAAACAATATGGGTTTAAACATGAAATGAGAAAATAATATTTTAACAAATTTGATTTTAAAAAAATCAAGAAAAAATACATTTGAATTTAATGTTTGTTATGGTCTCTTATTTAAGCATTTGCCAGCTGAAGATGTGTTGTTGGGATTTTACCGTTTAGGGATCTTTAATAGATAGCTTATAGACATTGTTGTGAAATTTAACATGAATAGTCAAGCTCTTCAGAGGATCACTTGTAATGAATTGGGTGACATTCTGATGTTTTGCCTGGGACTGCCATCATGTCGAATTTTGCCATGAATCATTTTCTTTCATTTACAAGAAATGACCGTATTTGCATTACATTTGCTGTCTTTATTTATAGTCCACAGAGGAAGAAGCCGAACGATTCTGATGACTACTTGAGTTTTCTTTTAGCTATGCCATCCTTCCAAATTTCATTATTTGTGCAATGTACTGATGACACGGCGTCTATGACCCACTAGCTGGGCTTTAGACTTCAACCTTGTTTTGGAACAAGTTTGAAGTCTGTAATATAATACTGGGTGAGAGAAACTATAAACTAGGTTAACTACTGTATTTCCCAAAATGTGTGTTCCTTTAAAACTGGCACAACACATGCAGTATATACATCAGCATTTGGCAGTTTCAATAAGATAACTAATGCCTAAATTCTTAGCAAACATCCAAAACTTGAAAAGACTAATGTACATGTCTAGGTTGTTAGCATACCTGCACTATGGCCACAAACCCATCTGAGAATGTTCCTCGGAGAATGGCATTTCGGGTTGTACCAACTAATAGCTCTTCTTCATCCACGTCTGCAATGGTGCGAACTGCACCATACTTTTCTGGAATCTGGACAAATAATCATATTAATCAACAAGCTTTTCCCACTTAACTGACTGTAACCGAACACAAAGCTCCTCCAGCAACATCACACACATGCAGTTGTGGTTCACCTCACACTCTCTCTCAGGTGCCAGGTCGGCGCTCCAGCGGATGATCTTTCGGTCCTTTCCTCCTCCACTGAGCAAAGCGCCGCCCTGCAGGGTGCACAGAGTAAACACACTACCTTCATGGGCTCTGGTCTGTCGCATGATCTGGAACGTCTCTATCAGAAAAGAAATGAAAAGAAACAGTTTTATCACAGTGTATGTGGAAAAACATTGCACAAAAATTATGTCAATCTGAAAAACAAACATAAGCTAAAAGATATAAGCAGACAATGTAACAATGCACCGTGACCACTTATAAATAATGCAAAACATTGTAAGTTAAAATGTGTTTTATTACTATTTTACTGTATTATTTCTATATTCATTGCATACATTTCTCAGGGTTCCAAGATCCGTGCTTCAAAAGTGAGCAATTAATCAAGTTTCTTGATGGCAACGGTATCTCCAAACTTCACATTGACATTACATTTTTTAGCTTTATACTGATCGACTGCACTTACCTTTGGCTCCTTTACCCAGAGTTTTCACATCTGCAGCAGATTTTCCCCAGGTTAGGATGTTTCCTTCAGAGTCTCCAGTCAGAACGTCTCCAGTTAGGCTGAATACAAAGCACTGGATGAACTTGGGTTTCTTGTATTTCTGAAAACAATGTAGATTGTTTTAGATTAGTAATTTTATTGACATTAGTGCATGTTTACATTTTTTGTTTCACTATACTAATTACATATTTGATGTCCATATCTGCATTTGTACATCCATCCATCTCTTTTGGACATGCAAATTATTTGCTCTCAATTTTCCATTCTCTTTGTTGATGTTGCCTACTTCCCCTTTTGGCCTCAAACAGAGGAGGATGCAAATTTCATTTTGTAGCACTTACTAATGCCACTCCAGTAGGGAAAGCTAAGTAAATTGAAAGATATAGAAACTGTGATTATGAATAAACTCATGTTCATCTTACTCCAAAGATGCCTTGTTTCTTTGTAAACTGTCCTGCGTTGAGTGTCCAGAAGTAGACATGGGATTTACCACAGGTGATGATGTTGGTGCTGTCACTGGGGTTAAACTCCACAGCAAACACAGCCTCGTTGGTACTCTAAACAAACAGCAACACAGATGAGTTTAACACAAATATAGTGTAAAATAATCTGATTGCATCAGTCAAGTCTTCATAACATGAAAAGACCCAATGACATCACAGTTTTTACAAAAAGAAGACCTGTATCCAGCTAGGTGTCTGTAATACGTGAAACAAGGGAACATACAGTGGAAATATAAAGAAAAGGTGTAAACAATCTAACCACTGTGATACTGTTTATGTTTTTAGTATTTTCCATAGACCCATCTGCCAAAAGAAAGCACACAGTGAGAAAAGAATAGGATTCCAAACTATTCTATATTCTATGCTCACTACAACTCTTTTCACATTATTATTACAATATATAGCCACTGTTCATGTAAAAATCTTCATCAAAGAAGCCTTTAAAACCTTAAAATACACTTTGTGCAATTATTTAAAGCTGCACTGATCAATATGAAAGGTAACACTCACAGGGATGACTTCACAGAGATTATAACTAACTCTGTAGCTTATTTCAGTTTTTAGCCTGTTGTTGCGCTTTGTTTTGATTTTACAGCTATTGTTACTGTTTTGAGCTGCAGCATGCAGATGCACAATTTCAGTCATAGTGAAATGTAAGGACCACCCAACTTGTCTTGGGTACTGGTGGAATATCAAAGCAGACAGAAACATTGAAATGTTTTGACCAAATTTACACTATTATATAACTGGTTTGTGTTGTTCCATCTAAGCAGGGTTGTACCATCGAAGACCATGGGCACATATCAATGACCCTACAAAATCTCAGGGCTCTTGCTACATTATTTCTCAGTTTATTGCACTTCAAACATTGCTCCACAGATTGGCGTGAAAAAAAATGATTCAAAAATCGCCATGACCCCACCCCTCTTTAAGAATTTTAAACTCATAAGCTAATTACCTGTGGCCCTCTGCAGTTTAATACTGATGCAGTCATTCAGAATTGCACCTAAGTCACAGTATTAATCTGAGACATTAAATAATCACAGTTCAGATAATTTAGTGGCCATGGTATAGGTGGCATATCAGATAATGTGCTTTCAGTCTGTTTCACTGCCCCCAAATGGTAAAGAAATAACGAAAAGAAGAAATCTTTAAATTAGAAATAATGCAACTTGCATTTAAAGAAGCCCAAAGAAAACACAGTCGCAGGTCTAGTGTGACTCTGTATTCAGTATGTCCAGAAAGTACAGAAGTACAATTTCTACACAAAAAGCTCCATTCATGGCCGTGCCTTAAAGTGGCATATAGGGTATTCCACTGCTGTGGAGATGGGAGGGGGAGTATAATTATCTTGTTCCTGCTGGATGAACTCGTATGTTTATACAGTGTGGGCCAATGTTGGCCTTTCCAACTGAGCTGCCTTCCTACATTCAACCATACACTCTGCATGCTACGTTCCACAAAATAGAAAGTAAGTTCTTGCACAAGTCCATTAAATTCTTGACTTAAAATGATAAACAAGTTCAAACACCCACCTATGCATTCCCACTGCTGCACACATACACATATGCACAGATGGACAAATGCACTCATAAAATATTTACGCTGTTGCCATGACAGTCATGCTGAAATTGCTCTCAGGGAAGTTGAGGCGTTTTGGGAAAAAAGCCCATAAAAGCAAAGCAGAGACACCGCCACCATCTCCCTCCCCCCCAATCTCTCTAGAGAGACCACCTTTAGAAAAAAGATCTACACAGTGAGCATGCAGCTACACTGGATATTTGTCACCATGCTCACATGAGCCTGGTTAACTTTCATACTTCAGCTGAAGGATTCACTTATTTCTGTATGGTTAGAAAATATCACACAATTTCAGGAGTCAAATGATGATTCTTAAATTGTAAAATCGTGTCCCCCAAGGGCAGCCAGAAACTATGCAATTCTTTTTTTTAACAGAGGGACAGCCAAAACAAGTTAAAAGCATCCACCCTAATATCTTTTATATATAGCAAACATTTTAGCAAGAAGTTGTCTTTGTACCACTGTTAACTCCCTTCAACCAACGATTGTTGATTTTCACCAGCACAGTTTCACTAATACTTTGAGGACTAGGCGAGATACTAAAGTATTAACACTGGAGTACAGTTGCCCTTGAGTTTGTGAATTACATTGTGGGCTACAACTTGTTATTCAGCCTGTATTTGTTTACATATTGGTAAACTGGATCATACTGTATGCTGAATTAGCTGTTACCTGTACAGACAGTTGTACAGACTACTGTATCACTGGATTACTGTGATATTGAAGAGTTGCAGTAGAGTTGCAGTGTACAGCAGGAGTGAATATTGAATTTCCCCTCTGGGATAAATAAAGTATTTTTCATTTTATTTCATTTCAATATAACTCTGTGCAATATAATTTCAATGCCAACTGATTAAAAACTCTATCGCCTCTGTATAATTGCAATTTTTGCAAGTTAAAAAGTAGAGCAAGCAATCAAAAACATAGACTTTAGAAAGGCTATATTGAAAATAAAGGCCCCAAAGTAGGGTCTCAATGCATCAGTAAACATATCTGTGATCAGAAACTAAATTGAGTACATATATTCTATGATTTCCAGTTAGCCTCACTACATTAACATGAACTAAAAACACCAGAACTAATCAGATCTAATCAGAAGTGCAGTGATCAGCCTCCTAAACTGATGCAACAGACAGTGCACTACATATACAATTTAGCTCTGAAAAACAAATGGACAAGTGCTTTAGACTTAGCACAGGGGTTATTAATATAAATCTGATTTTGACAGTTTTTCTGTGACAGCTCAGACAGTGTAAAGAATATTGCATAACCCCAACTTCTATGGACAGTGCCCAAGAAAAACCTTAAACTCTGCCAAAGAGCATGAAAATAAGCCTGAGGAATACTGGGAGCATACTCTTTGGTCAGATGAGATCAAGTAAAATTAGCTACGCTAAGATGACGTGCTGCATATTTAGCATTAACATGGTCAAGACTAGCTGCAGGGTGGCGCAGTTGGCACTGTTGCCTCACAGCAAGAAGGTTGCCGGTTCGTGTCCCGGTGGGGGCACCGGGATCTTTCTGCGTGGAGTTTGCATGTTCTCCCCAGCGTGGGTTCTCTCCGGGTTCTCCGGCTTCCTCCCACACAGTCCAAAAACATGTTGAGGTTAACTGGTGATTCTAAATTGTCCGTAGGTGTGAATGTGAGTGTGCTTGGTTGTCTGTCTCTAAGTGTGGCCCTGCGATAGACTGGCGACTTGTCCAGGGTGTCCCCTGCCTTCGCCCTGAGTCAGCTGGGATAGGCTCCAGCCCCCCCGCGACCCTAGTGAGGATTAAGCGGTGTACAGATAATGGATGGATAGTGAATGCATAGTCTCAACAGTGGAGCACGGACGTGAGACTGTGATGATATGGGGCTGGATAAGTGTAAAAGCTGTTGAGGAGATGGCATTAATAGATGGCAACATGAATGCCCGTGGATATGCCAAAATATTGGCTGCATTAGTGATACTGCACAGGGGTTTAATCATTTCTGCTATATACTGTCTTAAGAGGATCTCATTTTTGATCAATTCAGCGTGGATTTTTGAATGTTTGTTGCATTGGGCTTCAGAGATAATGATATCCTCTGTATGTGTAAGTTTGGAAAATCAGAAAACATGCACTTTGTGTTTGTATGTTCATGTTTGACTGCTATTGAGGTGCCAATTTTGATGTACTTTAATTTAGGCTTTAAAGTTCTGTAACTGCCTTCATGAGCTGCATGTACTATTATTCATGCCCATAATATGGCACCTGTTGTGAGTAGTGCACTGTTTACATAGGGCACTGTACAATTTTAAGACTGTAACACTATAACATGATACTGCATTTTTTAAAACCCAGTAAGGTGTTTGACTGTGTAGCTATTTTTAATGAAAATAAGTAGACATGACTGATGTAATGTTGTTTAAATACCCTAATGATAAAGCCCATTACATTCATTTATACTTAACCTTAACTTTAGTCTGTCTGTTCCTTACCTTGACCTCTGCATGCTTCGTCCCCTTAGTACAATCCCATACTGACAGCATATGTTCATTAGAGTCATCGATCACACACAGGAACGCTCCAGAGTCCTGAAAATATCACATCACAACAAGACAAAAAATAACAGAATAGGTGTGTTTGCATATGTCTGGTCTTCAAATACAGGCTGGTCAAGAAAACACATGCCAAAACCAAAGAAATTTCCACAGCACCAGTCCCAAAATGTTATGTCATAGTCACCACTCTTTCAGAGAGCACTTTCTCCTTTTAAAACAAATATTGTTTTTACCTAATTATTTGAAAGCACTTCTACTTAGCCAGTTGTATTTTTTATATTTTTTTTCTTGCAAAAGTTAAGGTACCAACAGGGACAAAACATTTCCTGGAAAATTTTCACAGTATAAACTGTGAGGACAACAAAGGCCTAAGATTTTTTTTTCTTTTGTTTTTTTTTTTTAAATGTGAAACATCTGCTGTGGAAGTGTTTATTTTCATTGTTGTCCAATTTACTGCTATCCAAAAAAGGGAAATGACAGCATTTGAACCATCTGAGCAGTTTAATGCTTTCTACTGTTTTACCATGATGTTTGTTTTATTTAATCACACTTGAGGCCCATGTTTGTAATATCCACAATGGTTTAGTAGAACATTTGCAGAAGGAAGCCAAGCACTGTCATTAAATGGTTAATTTGCCCAAACAAACAAACAAACAAACAAATAAATAGCAGGACTGCTCTGTTGCACAATTTAAAAACATCTCCAAAACGTAAAATGTTCAATGTGATACGTTGTTGTCTGGAGGTTTTTGTTGTTTCTTATAGTTAAAGGTATTTCGAAAGCCACGTGCAATGTCCAGGCAAACTTATACCCGCAGTCCACATCCATTGAGTCTAGGATGGCATTACCAAAAACAATACAAACCAGGCCCATTTAGTCTTACCAAAACCTACCCATGCAGGTAAACTATGGTTACAGAAAAGCATTGTCTTCTTTCCTTTCATCACTCAGTCGAATACTTTAGAAAGCTGTAAAATCTTCTCCAAAGATGTGAGCTCCATCTGAACACTGAGAGGTTAATAACAAATGTGGACTGTCAACAAGACTGCAGTTCGACCCAAATTGTACTCAAGAAACATAATAAATCAGGTGAAGGCCAAGCCAAACATACGATCCAGTGAATCACAGACCTCTCTTGTTGCATGTGGGATTCATGTACACGTTTCAAAAATCAGAGGAAAACTTTGATGGGAGAGCCGGCAGGAAGACGCCTCTGCTCTCATTAAAGAACAAAGACGCTTTCTGGAAGGACATTCTTAGGACAGATGAGCCCACAACAGTTTGGTCACAATCAAACTCCAATGTTTGGCGAAAAGCCCACGCTGGATACCACCAAAAGTAACCTGACAGTGAACCACAGTGGTAGGAATGTCAACATGGAAGGATGCTTTTCTTTCTGAGGGCCTGGATGATTTCACATAATCAAGGAAGCCAAGCATTCTAAGGCTCATCAAGACATTCTTAAAGAAACAATTATGCCATTAGTTGTAGAGTTGAAGCTGGGCCGAAAGTGAGTCACAGGACAAGACAATGACCTGAAGCATTCCAGCAAATCAACAAAGTAATGGTAACCCCCAAAGCAGATACCAGAAATAATTAGTCACTTTAAAAAACAATTAAAGCTCAGGTAGGCAGCACTGTTGGCATCATGTAGCAAAAGTTCCATACTAACCTTTCAGCATCCTGTAATTTAAGTTGTCTGAAGCGACTTCTCAGCCTCTTCTCGGTTTTGTTTTCAGGCTTTAAAAAAATCTGTGCCCAGTTTTTAGCCAATCACAGGGCTTCACCCAGGTCAGGTGAGGTACTATAAATAGTGGTGAAAGCAACATGTGGTGGTACGATGGAGTAGACAGAGGACTTTCATTTGTCAGAGAGGGGTTTGAATTCTGAGTGAAGCCACAAATAAATGGGAACTTGTGGCTTGACTATGCTCATGTGTTTGAAATGTTTCCTCGTCTGGTGGGAGGGGCTTAGAACAGAGAGAGGAACAGAAGAGCAAAGAGCTGCAGGAGGAGAACTGTATATTGTACATTTCTGGCGTTTTTGTTTGCTTGTTTGTTTTTTTCTTTTTCCCAATTCCTGCTGACTGCAGCTTTAATCGGAAAAATTGTTGCTATAGAATGTGCACAAGACACTTTAGCACAAAGAACATAACAGTTTAAAAAAGTAATGAGTGTAAGTCATACGTTTTGTTTATGTTTAGCATTTCAAGAGTTTTAGAAGTTTAGATGAACATTTTCTATGTTTTTTTATTTTATTTTTTACAAGAATGACTGTATCTGTTCACAAACTTTCAACCAGCAATGTAAATTTGTTTCATACCAAAAGCCTGTTTCTGGCTGTAGTTTGATTAAATTCATTGCTGGGGTAAACCGTTATCAACTGGAAATGAGAATTTATAATATGTTACATTGCAATTAACTTACAGCAAAGGAAAATGCCACTGATCCCACTCCCCTCTGGAAGGCTCCCAGGCCAATTTGCTGCAGGGTGACCAGTGTGACGGAGTCCCAGATATGAACACATGGCTGCAGAGGCTAGCACACATTATACATACAAAAAAATTACTTACATTTATCTGTAGTATAATGTTTCAGTTGTTTTAGTTTTTTTTAAATCATGTTATTAGAATTGGAATGGCTATATGAGGGAACAGCCAACATTTTGAGTGTAAATTAATGCAGTAAATGGTGGTTAAAGAAAATATCTGTTTAAGTGTCTTGTTGAGGATCAAAAATTACAGCAATAGTTACCTTTCCATCTTTATCCACCCCTGCTGTTTGCCCAGATGCTACTCGCACTTTGTCGGGGTGAACGGTGAGACTGCAAAAAAGCAAAGATATCTTACCTAAATGACAAGAACTGGCTGGAAAAAAGCTTCCAAACAAAAATCTATTAAAAGTCATCGCATCATGGAAACATATCAGGGTATAGAATTGTATCTACCATGACAAAATGACAAACATGCTCTTACAGTGCAGTCTGTGTTGGGAGTGCAAGATATATTTGGCAGTGCTGGCTCTGTACTGCAACGCATTTGAAATGACTCTGAGGTGAAATGTTGACTCTCGGGTTTAATTTGAAAGAATTTAAATACAATGTATACAATGTATGTCATTATATTTAAAGCTGTATATGTTTATTTTGCTGCAGTTTTTACAACAAGCAACCCCTTTCTGATTTCATACAATCATCTGATCCATTGTTTTGACAGTGTTTGCAGCTTTAACACATCTACACAGGCTGAGTGATGTGAGCAGCAGCAGTAGCAACAGTGAGTGCTGTCTATGTGTCGATACAGGAGGCACTCAGCTACAGTGGTGAGCATTGGTCACCTGCATTTTAGAAGTATTTAGAGCCCAATTCATTGGCGTAAAACAGTGACAACTGGACTTGAAGCCTAAAAATATGCTTTTGGTTTGCTTTTTTAGTTACGCATGTATAGAGCTGTACATACACAACACAGAAGGCTGCTGTTAGATCAGATGCCCATTTAATAGACAAAAAATGCAACTGAAACTCTTTCTGAGTAGAACCCTTTACTATTATTATCTTTGATACAGAGATATTGGGAGGTATCATTCCTGATGATGCTTTGCTAGGCCAGCCACATCCATAAAAAATGACTGCAAAATGGTAAAAGAGTAGATGAGGCGCACACCTTATAAGTCAATTCACAGAAATAAAATATCCCATACCCACTAATTTTTTGCAGTAATCCTGAAAAACCTGCCCCTACAAACTGCCACTGACTGAAAGTACACATAGTATGACAGTCTTTAAGTATCATTCGGAATATCATTGTCAGTTCCCTATTATTCTAATTTCATCCCTCTTATGCAATATAAGAGTGCACGATCAAAAAGTTTTGCGACTGCTCATATGCGAAAACAGAAACTGTACCAGATTTAAACTTCCTCTTCTCTAAAAGGTATTTTAATTTGAAGGGTCATTGTTTTGACACAGTGGAAGAGATCCAGCAAACTTCACAGATGGTGCATGGTGCATTTACAGAACTGGACTTCTAGAAAAAGCAGGTTTTGAATTCCAGTAATCTTTAGTGGGGGCACTGTGAATGGTATTTGGAATCAGTTAGCATCAAGCAAGCCCCAGAGCCCCACCTCTGACCCCTGAATATTTTTACATTTTTACCTTAGCTGGTCAAAGAGGCATCCAACCACATTTATTCTTTGGGGACAGTGTTATTTTGTATGGTGACTGAAATGATTCAGAGGCGTGTAGGAACATGCCAGTACGCAAATCGCCTCCAAAATCTCTGGAGCACACAGTAAAAACAGCAGTATGAGGCCTGGTGCTGAGGTCAGGCCAGGGTTAGGCAGATAGAAAAGAATTGGCATGTTGGTAACCACTAGCCAGGTTGGTAATACCTCTGATGTTTATCTTCAGATTAAATTAATTAAAAAAAAAAAGAAAAAAAGGCAGGTAGGAACTTCCATTTTCTATCAGATACAAAAGTTTTTCATGGGAGTTTGTTCCTCCTATTGTTTGTTGTAGCTCAAGTTTTTTCTTTTTTTTTTGACATCTGTTTTACAAATGCTATTCCAACATCAAACAGACTTAAAAGGCCCTAGTATTTCGAAACTGAAACCACATCCAGAGCAGCAACATATACAGCAAACACTACTGAACAAAGGAAACAAAAAACATCCAGATGTTTTTCTCAACTTTAGAGACAAAGCCAACATATAGAGATGTAAACTAAACAACCAGTCCGTTCTGTCATCATCACTTTACCAAAGCATCACTGGATTTTGAACAGACATTTCATGACATGCAGATATTCTGAAATTAGAAATGCGATTCCTTCTTAACTAATTCACACAATTTACACAACCTGTATTCCTCCAGGATGTTTCGGCAACTTCAAGGGCCTGATGAAGGATTCTTGTTCTCAACTGTGCAACCAAAAAACTTTCACTATACCATCAGGTTCAGTGCTTGATTTGATGTTTGTCATTTTGGTTTTAAGCAAATGCCTCTATGTATAGAGTCTCCTATTTTACATTTCTTGAATCCACATATCCCCCAAGCATAATTTAATACAATGAAAACACATGCACCAAAAAGTTGTAAGTAAGGTACCCAAGATCCTTACAATATTTTCAACCTGCTGACAACAGACCTTAAAGCTCCTCAAGTTGAACTTCCATCTTAATAGGACATAAATTCATCAAGAGTAAATTCCAAATATTTATAATTGGGTGTATATTTAAACTTTGGACAAGGCATACCAGTAATTTCTCCCATGTTTCTAAACTAGACAAATAAAAATGTTGATCTATTGTTCTAGGTTTAGTTTTTTTTCATATGTATGGATTGTATGGACTGATATATATACATGGCAGTTGATTCATGTTGTTCTACTGACCAGCGGACGCAGTCTGTGTGTTTGCGATAGTGCCGTTGCGTGCGGTTGTTGATGTGATAAAGCACAATGACACAGGCGATGAAGTACACTGCCTCGCCTGTTGGGAGGAAGTACAGATTGGCCCGACAGTCCCGTCCTCGGTAACCATAGCTAGCATGATGGGGTCAAGGTGACATCATTATCTCATACAATTAGGGAACAATTCACACAACAAACAAAACTGCATCATTAAAGTTACCCAATGTTTTTGCTGGCAGAGAGGTGAGAAGATAATTCATTCAGTAAACTGGCCCTTTTTATGGCAACCACATCTTTAAAACTATAAATTAATATGTTGTTGACTCTGCTCTCCCAGACACTAGACTAATAGAGTGATACTTGCCAATATGCTGTGTGGCTTGAATCCAGGAAACAACCACACAGTAAAACCAGCACTGTCTGAATGTAGCATAACCCTTACAAATATGAACATGAGCTTCAACAGCGCTGTGGCACTCTGAAAGGATACACCCAGTCCAGCTCCAGCCTCTCAGACGGCGGCTCCATCTTCAGGTCTTCATAGTTTTGGATATTAGAGGGGATGTACATGGTTATGGGCCGGCCTCGGATGAACATTTTGATGGACTGTCCTGGAATACATACACAACAGTCATGTCGCTGTGAGTAGACACAGAATTGGACAAGGAAAAGCCTTAGTTCATTTTCTCTTGATGCATCATGTTCTTGTATAGCCCTTTTCAGTCATGGCATACGCAGCATTGCTGATTCATCAGCCCATTTAAGTGATGGCATTTGGCATCAGAGATTGGTCACATCCTCACAGCTTCGTTCAGACATACCTACCACAGTGAAAGAAAGAACTATGGTACACAAGTGATGTGAGAAGTGAGATTGGGCAGTAAATTAGATGATGTAAAATACATCATGATGCACTAAAAATGAAAGACGTAATCTAAATCTGACATGTAGCACAAGATTTACCTGCAGCAATGTCCTTAACTTGGGACAAATATAAATCTTCAACAAAAAAATACCATGTGCAACTGGTCAGTTTTTGTTTTTTTACTCCAAAGCTTAATTCACTAATTAACTAGTCGTGCAGCAAAACAACATGAAAGCACAACATTTGGCACACTGCATATCACTTCATGAAGCTGTTGCCATTAAATTGTTACCAAACAACATGCTGAGCAAACATGGCGCATCACTGTCATCCTATTTCAAGTCTTTTGTATCCACCTGATGAATCAAGTTCTCCAATTCCAAGCCCATCACTTACTCTTAGTATGGCTATACTAGTCAGTAGCCGACTGACAACAGCAGAAGACTGCAAATGGGATATTGCTGGAAAAGTGTAGCCTGCTCTGTTAACATTCAGTGCATGAAAAGTGTAAACATACAAAGCGACATAATAGCAGGTCTACCTTGGCTATAGGTTCCTCTTCTGGAGCCGGGTGATCCTGTATGTGAATGAAAGCACGAGGTTAGCCAGCCAAATAAACACATACACCCTCTGAGCTCTAAATTTCAGCTTTCTCCCGCCACAGTTGACCTAACTTTGACTTTAGGAATCCCCAAGGATCTATTCTCGATTTATGTGAGTTAGATCTATGAGCTTTAAATTTCAAGAGGGTTCTATTTTCCTTTTCCGTTTCTTTTTGGACTTCTAACCTGGCTCTGTTACCTTGTCAACTCTTGTGTTCTTTTATGGGACTGGAGGGTAAGGCCAAGAAGCAAGGCTACGCAGACTGAAATATAAATGTTCTGACTTAGGGGCTTTAACTGTCTCTCTGAGCAAGAAATAGTAGTAAAAGGCCAGAGAGTTTCGCAGAGTCAAGGCAATGACGCCTTCCTCTTTTAACCAATAACAAAATCCACAGGACAGTAAGGAAACCAGACAGGAAGATGAACTCATTCTCACTTGAGTAGATGTGGGATCTGACAAATGACTTCAGTAAGTACAAGAAAGATAAGAACCCCGATCATGAACACTGTCTGATTATGTGACCGCTCATATAAGAGAAAAATGTGACCCATTCTGAGTGAGAACAAAATCAGAATCAAGACTTTTGGTACAGCATGTTGGATAAGCCCAGTTCAACAGTGTCAGTAACAGCAAACATAAGCAGTTCTCAACATTTAATTAGACATTAGAAACAATAGTATAGCAGACAGTAATCACATACTAATTGCATTTTTTGTTTAATGAGACCAACAGAGGTTTAAAGAAGAGAGCCAGGCCTTACCATGTTAGATTATATTATCAATAGTTCAACAATTCATGAAAACTGTTAGGACATATTTGTGGAAATTTATCCTCAAGCCTCTTAGTGTTTCTTATGGCAATGATTGAAGTTAGCACCACAGAATTTGACACATTTCAGTGAACACTGATACAAAAAGTGTTTCCTGCTTTTCATTAAATCTACATAGCATTAGCAATTAGCTACTTAAGACGTTTAAGAGGACCCACTATGCTGTTAAACTTGTGCTTCACTCATTTGTAAGTTCTGATTTTTATTAAACAGAAAAATTTATTCTCTGGAGACCACAAATACAGTTGCTGCCATCACCTCAGACAGCATTAAGGTTCACTTCAATTTCAGCTGGACTACAAGTGCAGTAAGAAATATGTTAAAATTGGATTGATAATGAAATATTTTTGGTGCCTTTGTTCTATGTCGCAGGTTAATATTTCCTACTGCTTTACACTGTTAAGAAAATAAAAAGCAAGACTCACATGCCAAGCACAGCAATTACACAAATGAATGAGAGTTATGACGAGATGGAGATTAAATCAGAAGAAGACTTGAAAAATGTGTTTTTGGCATCCGACACAGCAGAGCTGATCATCCATCATTCTGTCAAGCGAGTTAGAGTAGTGCAGCAGCTCAGCTAACCGCAGTAAACGTGGCTCAAACAGGTCCTACAGTCTTAGGCTTCACAAAACACATAAAAAGTGATGACAAGTTTAAAAACAGGGGCGGAGAAATTTCCTGTTAAGTGATATTTTTGGTGTTCAAAGAATATGCTAAGCCATAAAGATAGCCTCTAAATGACCTGGTAGCTTATAGCTGGACGTCTAGCTGAGATAAAGCAGTTTCACGTCAGTAGGTATTTAAACAGGTTTTGAAATGTAGAGGCTCCCCACGTTTTCTTATCTTTACTTACTAGATACTAAAACAAAGTAGTTCAACATACCTAATATGTTTACTGGCAACACAGTACTTCGAAGTGCTTGTAATGTTCTCATGAAGCTTAAAAGTAAGGCATGGCCGCTAATTTAAATTAGCCTATTTCGAAAGGAGCAAAACCACATTTTTCTTCTTATAAATAAAACCTTTGCTCAATTCAGTACTGGGTCTGGTATAACCAATACTGCAGTTTACTGTGTCTGATCCCTAGAGAAAGGTTCTGCCATTCTTCACACGGTATTTTTTCAGCTGCTTTTTGCTAAAGAAGTCATATGACATATTTGGCCAGGTCATAGTTTTTACTTTTTTCTTCTTCAGAAACTCATGTGATTTTGGCAGTGTGCTTTGGATCACTGGATCATACTGGAATATCCCTCTTTTGCCAAGCTTCTGCAAACACAGTCATTCTTGTCAGCCAGCATTTGGGTATATCCACAGTCATTCACAATGTCATCTCCTCAACACCTTTTGCATTCTTGTCGCGCCACATTATCACATTCTAACCTCCAGACTTCATTGTCAGAACTATGCATTCACTGTAGTAGTCCTGGTCAAGTTCATGTAAAACATGCTAGACCCACCTGAGCCAAACTAATTTTTCTTGGTCTCATCTGACCAAAATGTGATCAAAGTTTAGCCAGCAAGGGTTGTTACTTGGATGCTGTTTATAGTCTGTTTGTCTTTCATAGCTGTGCTGATTCTAAAAAGCTCTTGAACACAAGGCACCTCCAGTTACACTTATTCCATTAAGTTATAATTCAAATAGGTTGATTCAATATTTTATTTTTTATCACATTCAGAGTGTGTCATCCTGTCAGTGGCTGTTCAGTGACTGTAAAACATATGGTAGCAACTACTGAGAGCATTTCTTGAAACAAAGACTTGAAATCCGATATTCCATATCTATCAGCCATGCTTGATGTCTAGCTTGTGTCACAGGAAGATAACATCAGGTCTGCAAAGCTCTGATTGGTTTGGCTGCTGTTGTTTTGTTTTTTTAAACAGAGGACACAAGTCTTAATAAACACAACTCCAGGACTATCTGAATTGCTGAACAAACCACAGATGTGAACAATTCTGATTGTGGCCAAAGCTATTAGAAGTGCATGTCCATGAATATTACAATTTTGAACTAAAACCCAGTGATGTACATTCTGAATGTTTTCACCCACCTGACACTTAGAAACGATTACACAAAGGCAATCAATAAGATGTTCACTAGTTTTGACCAGAATTCTGTCTTTGCTCATCTTCCACGAATGATGTGTAAGAGAGTGTACTCTAACATTCCGTTTTGCAGGAATGAGGCCTAAAAATGGGGCTAACCATAACCAGAGTAAAGGCCAACACTCATAAAAGCTACGCTAACCACAAGCGTGGTTGGTTGGGAAATCCACTCATTTTTGCACAAATGACTACATGTGTGCACCAATGAGAAACTGCCTGGGCACAAGTACAGAAGTATAGTTCAACTCAGGCTTCGCCAACACTGGAGTCAGGCCACACCAACACATGGGAAAAGTCCCTGATTTAAACACGACATGTGATAATGATCACTGAAAGTCTTTTAAAAGCTATTTTGTATTCTACAAACTGCATTCACTGGGGAAAAAGCATTCCTCACTGTGCTGCTTTTGAATTGCACTCCTAAAAGGTCATTTGTAGACAATGTCTGGCATGTAGCATTCAGACAAAAAACTGCCAAGAACAAGTTTTGCACCAGTAACATGTAACAGTGTCACAGTGATTCAAAGAATTCCCAAGAGGACTTTATGCCAACACAAGAGGATTATTATGGGTATGGTTACCCTAACCCTATGGAACGAGACACGAACAAGGAACACTGACAGACCTTGTTGCTCAGCTCTTTGCTTACATGTCTCTGATGGTATCTAGCTGTCTGATCATCTGCATGCAGGTGTGTCTTAGTCTTGTCTACATGTTTATCCTGTAAACTGTCTTTGAGCTTCTAAAAAGCACTACAAATAAAATGTATTATTATTATTATTATTGTTACGATTACACCCACAGCAGCGGATTAATCCAGTTTAGCTTGGACTCTGCAGCATCTAGCTGCTCCGTCTCGTAACAAATAACAGCAAAAAATTTAAAACATAACTGGGATGGTAATGGGCCTGTAAACATGTTTAATTTAACTAATGACATTTGTATATGAGTTACTGCACAACCTTGTGCAAATTACATTTGCATGCACATAAAGCACAATACAACAAAGACAGCTTATTTAAGTTAAAGGACACATGGAACGTAAATGACACTAATATGCACTGTGTGCGTACTGTAAGCTGCAGTGATAGGCAAGTAAGCAGAAATTAACAAAAAGTAATCAAACAACCCATTAACTGTCACCTTTTCAGCACACACTTAAAACCAGTAAACAGAGCTTAGAGAAACAAAAAAGAAATGCACATGTGAAATAACCAACAGTAGTTTAAATTTCATTTTAAAAATGGGGCTTTCACGTGGGAACCCACTTTTCTTATTAAAAAATTGGTTGAAGGAGAAAATAGTTTTTACTGTAAGTGGGTAAACTAACAAGAAAATAAAAAGATTGATGGAAAGTTATGAGAGTTGCAGAATATCTCGTTTTCTTCTAGGTCTAAGATTCTGTATTAAACACCTACTGCCAGGTTTCTGTCACAGATATTTTGAGTGAGATTAGGCAATAACAGAGTTATACATTTTTGGCCATGACTTGATGACGGACAACACAATGGCTCCTAACCAATAACAGAAACAGAAAACTTTAATGACCTTACCTGCACTGGCGAGCAGCTCCTTAGCCCGGCTGTGGAGACAGAAAAGAGCCATGTGAGACAGACAGGAGAAACAATTCCATCAATTAATAGCTTTTGTCCATCACTCCTGGACTTTAGAATCACTTTGTGTATCTATGATGGTGTTCATGGGAATGGAATTTTATTATTATTCACAGGGGCCATTGCTGTTCCAGCAAGAGTCTCTTTGATGAGATATGTGAAGCTGCAGCAGCCATAGGAAAAAGTGAGCTGTGTGACTGTGTGGTGACAGCTGTGAGTGATGGTGGTGTGGCTCACTTCTCCAGGCTGGGGGAGCGGGTGAGGAGGTTGGCCGAAGATGCTGCTTTTTTGTCCAGGCGTTTCCTCTGCCTCTCCGGGTTCCCCAGTTTCTCACTGTTTCTACGAACCCTGGAGTACCACAGGAAAAAAGAGTCAGCTTCCATGTTTAAACAATCCACATAGATTACACACAGATGCATGCAATTATCCTGCTATTTATACATGCAAAGTATTCATATGCTACCAGTGTAAGTACATGCATGGAACCCAAAAACATGCAGGTTAGTTTGCAAAGTTTGCAATCTTTTAATGTTTTAATTCACATTCTTCCAATAGTAGAAATTCATTTTAATTACACTATCTTTTAGCTTTAGCCATTGTTACTTTTTGAAATATTAACACCAAAATAATTTTACTTTTGCGAAGCCCCATCTACTGTTCCTGTCAGTCTTTTCTATTTAATGGATGGTGATTACAGTGATAACAGTGGTATATTTACGATCGCAATTTGTGATCATTTGTGAAACACTGGGCTAGTTACTTAAGACAGACCTAACAGTAAATTTTCCTTTCTGTTTGATAACTACTGGTTTTGCACTTGTTTGAAATGAAAATGATGGCAGATTTGATCAACTACAGCTAGCTAGCTAGCTTATCGACATTAAAGGAAAATTCCACTTGCTGTGTTTCCTATCAATATGCCCATTGTGCTTACTTTGCACTCCATTATAGAGACTAAGGCAAACAACTGATACAAAACTGCATATTTGGTCACTGACTTAATGACTGGCATATTGGTCTGCGAACAGTGCTTTGTTTAGTTGTGTAAGGCTAACTTTGTTTAGGACCTGTTGATGCCAGACTTGAAAAATCTCCATATGTCTGTGTATAAGAGTAATCCCAGCTGTGGAACTATAACTAACACATTTGTGGCCTTGATAAACATTATCTTCCTGTAGATGGTGTTTCACCTCCCCGAACAAAGGGGAAGAAAAGACCAAGACAAGCCAGAACAAATACTCAGCTCGTCATACAGTCAGTAATAGCTGTTACAAGTTAGAGTCCCTTTTATGTGTTGGATATCTTGTTTGCTGTAAAATGAAGAAGCGGATATACTACAGCCCTGATATTACAAAACAAGAAGCAAACAAACTGTTAAATCCATCCAAATGAGCCGACAGAGCAGAGGGTTAGTCTTAACATGTTCATAACAAATAGTTTGAACAGTAACTTGTTCACCTATATTTGTAATTTCTCTTCGGAACAATTTTGGCGATCATGTTGGTTTGTTTGACCAAAACATGTTATCTTAAAGTAGTTGCGTCTTGTTTAAAGATCTCAGTGATGTACAGTGTTATCATTAGGAACAGAAATGTTGCACACAACCACAAAAATTGCACCAAAGTTCTAATAAACTAAAAATACTTTTTGTCACTTGCATAAAACTATTACAATGTTTTTCATTCAGTGCCAATTCTAATTTTGAAGTGTCAACTTGCAAAGGAGAAGATTGGTGCAAATAACCTCACTTTTAAAAGTTGTGTTGACAGTAAGTGTGAGCAAACACACACGCAGCTATAACTCATAATTCATCTCTTATTGTCTTTGAGGGGTTCTTGTGACACACCCTGTTCCTGAGGACATGCCTCTGTAGCAGAAGCATCAGCAGAGGAAGTGTTACGAGACTAAAAAAAAGTACATCACTGGCCTCGGATCTAGGAAGTGAAACTTCGCTGGCAACCTATCTTCCTAAAACATTGTACTAATTAAGCTTTTAGTGTAGGTTTGAGGAGGAAGAAAACTGTCGGCTTATTCCGTCATCACACTGAGGTTCACTTCTCAGCTATTACTCAATTACTTCACCAGGTTCCACACTGAGGATTTGTCCTTCTTAAATAACCATCTTATATGAAGAACTTTTAAACCCCTTGACCTACTTTATCTCTCTCTGTTGTTATTACATTGCTCCCTGAGGAGATTTCAAATGTGATCAGAACCCTATATTAGTCTAAGAGCAAAGTCTACCACATGAAACTTCTGCATACATTTCAACGTCTGGCTTCCCTTTCTGTGTGAATGAACTAATGACTAAGTAAAATGTTGAGTTGTAGTCGGATGAGGACAGAGGCACAGCTCAGGTTTCTATTGAGGGTAACGACAGAGTGATACTGAGGTTCTGAAGCATATGTTATCCATCACAGATGAAACCCTCTGACAATCAACAACAAGAAAGTAGGACAAAAGAACAAATAAGTACACAAACACTTTCAGCAGAAAACAAAAGCAGCAGTGACCCAGCACTGTGTCCTCTACTTTTTAAGGAAGTCTGTCATTTGATAGGTTCACAGTGGAGAACAAATCACAGCATGCATTTTTTTTGAGAGCAACAATGTTAGGAGTGATTAAAAGGTTAGAGTAGAATTGCACTGAGAAAAAAAAAACAAAAAAAACTTAAGGCAGTTTGTGCATTTCTGCAAAACCCAGTTGAATGGCAAAACCTTAGAGGCACTGTGTCAACTCTGCACATCTGCATCGTCTTACGGAGCCTTCAACTTTAATACTTTATGGCAACAGTAAAATTGTAACTGAGCGGACCACTGTTTTTTTTTTTTTTTTTGATGAATATTAACTCTGGTGTAGCCTGTTTATGCAGATATTCCACTTCAAAACATTTTCTGTCCTTGAAAGGTTACATCTGTACAGTCCTGTAAATCCCCAACCTTTCTTGTTCACTCTGAGTGTATACATAATGTAATTCTAACCCTACCCCTTCTTGTATATTGTACTGTTTAATTGCCCTTACGTCACATTTTCCACAGGATTCAAATCTCTGTGTGCCGTGAAGCTAATTGTGGATATGTCACTCAGTGTGAACGAGTGCCACCATTATGTTCTGCTATGGCTTTATGATTCCCAGCCCCCTGCTCAAACACATGAAAAAGAAAACATACAAAGAGCTGCAGCGACTATGACGACAGAACATGTCATCATTACACTCTGGCAACTTGAGGCTTATTGTTTAATGGGGTTTGGAGTGCAACTGGGGTTTGCAGAGTGAGAATCAGAAAAACTGTGCTACAGTTGATTCGTCCCTAAAAGCCACACAATCAGCCATGAGAAGATATGATTATGGTTATGAAGAAAGCGGTGATGACGGAGATAACGCACAGAGGCTTCTGTCCTTCCTGTATGGTGGACAGAGGTCCGGAGCGAGAGCTGAGGTTTTGGTCTGAGGTCCTGAGTGAGACTGAGGCAGAGCCTGGCTCCTCTGGAGAGCAGCTTCTATCCTGGAAGTCCTCCCTCTGGAGGCCTCTGATTGTGGTGGGTTGAATGGGTTCCTCCACTAATGACGTCCAAGTCAGTTCTTTATCCTGCTCCCCTGCTCCTTCTTCATCTTCTTCCTGCTCCTCATCCTCCTCCTCCATACCAGGAACGCGGTGGAGCTTAGCCCGGGTCCCCTCAGGCACAGACTCGCTTGGAAAGAGGGCATCCTCCAAGTGTAGGCTCTGGACCCTTCTGGAAAGAGGGACCCGGTCCTGCCCAGCGTCCTGCACTGGCAGGCTAGGCTCTGTTTGCGTTGCCCTTTCCATTGTTGCTGGTTTGGTTCGGTGCTCCATGGACACTATGTGGCCATTAGCATTGGTCACAATGCTGTCTGACATTTGGCTAGAGATAGTTCAGAGGTTGAAAACAACATAGGATAATTATACAGGTAATCACACATACATACGAACTCAATTAGGGTTCTGAACAGACAACCATGTCACAGATGCCTCAAGCTATATGGCTATATATCTAGTGAAACAATACATTAACAATACAGCTCTTCATTATCCATTTTGTCACTCTAAGTCCCTGGCTTGAAGGCGCAGTACCTGGTCGCAGGGTGGCGGATCCCATCAGTGGCTGAGCTGGTGGACAGTTTTCTGCTGCTGGTGCAACCATCTGAGCCGCACACTTGGTTCAGCACCCGTGCAGCACCTGGGTTCACTGAGTGGATCAAAGCAGATTATTAGTTTTTCTTGAGTGATACTGCACTGGACTCTGTAAGTCCAGACATTTTTCCATGGCCAATGGATAATTAAATTACATTATGCACCATCTGAGACAGAGCTTCTTTTGAAATTTTGTGACGATCGTGCCAACACACAGTGAAGATCACCCACCTGCTATGAGCTGTTGCTTCAGTAATGGGAGGAGCTGGTCGTGGATGCGGATCTTGCGCAGAGCATCTGCCAGCGAGGATTTCAGCAGTGTGATCTCATCCTCCTGTGCCTGCAGACGCACTTCCATCATAGATGCCCGGTCTGGGAACTCAGCGCTGCTGTCTGCTGAAACATCATCTACAAAGGGAACAGCAAGATAGCAGAGAGAGCATCTGCTTTATTCAACTGGTAGGCTGTGTTCCAGTACCCTTTAAAACTCGAACTTAGAACCCAGCAGGTTTAATGCACCGGAATCCTGTAATTACCATCTGTGGCCACAGAGTCCGCTGGTGCCTCTACTCAGGAAAAGGTAGCGTTGCCTTAGTCTCTTATTTTGAGCCACAAGAGACAATGCTAAACGTACCAGTGACAGACAATGTCCATAAGTCAGAACACTAGATTACTGCCAAGAACATTTATTTATTTTTGTCTTTAGATGAGATCATGAAGGCATGCAATTGTAGTTGACACTAAAAGAAACATGCAACCTTTCCAATAAACACTAACTTTTGTAAAATTAAAGGCTTTTTTCCATCACTCTATGTTGTTTTTTGTATGTTCAAGAAGCCAGAACACTTGATGCCAGTCGAACCGAAGTCTGAATGTTAAAGGATTAGAATATGCCTGACATCTAGATGGAAATAGAAATGGAGACAGAACATAAATACATACTAACAACTCTATAATAGTTGACTACAGCTATAAAAAGCGCTCTGTTTTGTGAAGTCAATCTTGTGTTGTTCTTGTACATGTGTGTTTTGGTGTGTATTGTTATCTTTGTGAGGACTACAGATTTAAACCATGAGGACTTTTCTGTATTATGTTGGCATTTCCAACTGTCCTTACTATTGTAAAGGACAGTTTGAAGGGTAAGACTTGGTCTTTCTGTTCAGGTCAGGGTTAGGATATTGGTTGGGGTTAGATATTTAAGGAGACGGATAGTGTGTTCACATGTACAGAAAGACAAATTTATATATATTTGCTGGCAAGCTGTCAATTCTTATTGGCTTACAGATGTTTAGAGCATTGTACTCAAACAGAAGATTGTCCAAAGGCTTCTCAAAGACCCTATTGTGGGTGAAGCAGAGCTACAGTTCACGCATGTGCATATGAAGCACATAGCTGGTTCTGCTTCAAAAAGTGTGTGTGTGTATGTCTGTGGAATGCCTCCTTCTGTTCTTGTGTCATAGGATGGAACACAGTTGGCGAACAACAAGAGGATATTTTCCTGCTTCAGCTCCACTCAGCTGTGTTGGTAGTCTTCACGATTACTCAGCTCCTCAATTCGCACTCAGCCATTTAAGTGTTATTTTTGCACTGCAGTCCAACAAAGTCGGGCGTTAATTGACCGAGAAGTACGAAGGAAATGGTTTGCCCACTCCGTAATAAGTAGGTAAGAGGTCCTCAGATGCCACTTTTTTTCTGCAGCAATCCTCTAAAGCCTCATGGACTCAATTTTAGCAAAGGCTAACAGTCAACATCCCCAACATGGAATTACTCACTGCCAGTTATTGTAGTCTCCACCTTCATTTTAGCATGAATTCAGATGCTCTGGCCATTCACATGGCCCTAGTGGGAACAAAAGCAACAACACTGCCAAGTAAATTACAAGTTAAAGTAAGACTACTATAATCAAATCAATCAAATCATGGCCTTTACCTCAGCTGCAGAGTATATTAGGCCGCAATTTGAAACTTCCTCACATTAGAAATTGGCCTTTGTTTCTAATTTTCCATGTTTGTTTATAAATAGACTTCAATCCAGCTATTTTCTGAAGCTTTTCGGGTCACAGTGGCAGAACACTCGGCAAGATATTCCTCTCCCCAAGGACAAGTGTCTCCTACATCCTGACCCACAGTAAAGAAAAATTCAAAATCAGATCGTGTCTGGATCTAGGCTGTTTCTCCTAAACATCACTGGATTCACTTGACATCATTATAAGATTTTCACCATTTTGTCATAGTGCTTAAATTAGGCTCCTTAGAAATATCCTTCCCATCGTCTCAGCCTAAACCCAAGTTAAGATTTTAAAATGCCATTTTCTTCTCAATTTGATGATTTTTTTTTTGGTTTGAAATAACCTGGTTGATATAACAGTAAAATGTCTGCGGAAGATCTGTGGCAAACTTCTGGCAGATTTGTGTGGATTTAGTACTATGGTTTGGCCAGCACACCAAAATTGTCACGCAGCCCAGCACTGTTCCTGGGGGCTTGCTTCAATTACTGGCTCCACACTCACATCCTAACAGCTGGCTTATCGCAGAGTAAAGTGTGTGTGAATGTTGGACTGTTGGTTTTGTTAAGTTACAGAAATGGTCTGACAGACATAACTAACATAGTTTAGTTTAGTTTGCCTATGTGTGGCAAGCAGTTAGGACGGAGTATGCTACCCAACCAACCAGCTCATCATGACCTACGTCTTTGGCCAAGACTAAAGCAAGGAAAAGCAACTCTGCATGACAGTGAACTCAATTCAGATGTGAGTTTTTTTTTAGAGTTGTACGGGTAAATCAAAACTAAATTTATTGTCGTAGGAGACGATGTGTCACTTAGCTGCACTCAAGGGTTTTGTTAAGTGGCCTGACCAGAAATGAGGTGATAAACCGATGGATAAAAGCATTAGTTGTGACTACAACTGGACTACATCTAAATCTAATCTAACAAAAGTCACACAAGGTCTAGTAGAAACAGTGGAAGAATATGACCAAAATACCATTAGGGCAGATTATTTAAAAAGTTGTTCATGCTAATATTTTCTCAAATGACCACTTATTTGTTTTCTTTAAAAAATGACAGAAAATTGAAGCTAAACTACACTGCTGGCTTTAATGGTTCATGTAAGTTTATTATGTTCATATGTTGCACTCATCATAATGGACATTTTTCTTTTATTTATTTTACTTAAGTAAACAGGTCAGAATCTTATAATGGCAATCGAGCGTTTCATTCTTTTTAGTCACTTTGTTTAAGAAAAAATGCCAACATTTGCTGGTTCAAGCTTATTAATTGTGAGGATTTTCTGCCTTTCTAATTACATGATAATAAACTAAGTACGTTGGGATTTTGTTGAACAGAAAACAAGACAACGAAAGACACTTTCGTGGGGTCTGTGAAATTTTCTGAAATATTCTTGACATTTTATTGACAAACCAGTTGTGTGATTAACTAACAAAACAGTTAATACATAATTTGATTTTGAAAATTGGTGGTAGCAGCTCTAGTTTCAACGGAAGCTTTTTAATTGGATTTGTCTTGTACATACTTACAGGTCAGAGTTTCTTTTTGACAGTATGTACACGTTGGTCAGCGCAAGTGAAAAGTTTTGCAATCCAGAAATCCAGTGCTTTCTAAACCAAATAACAGAGCATCATTAAAGGGCTTGTATAAAACCACTTTTATTGAGGAACTATAAACCCTCACTCCAAACCAGAACACTAAGAAACAACAGAAATGATAAATCTCACTTAATTCTTATCAGGGTGTCTCTGTGTGAGAGAAAGGCTGGTGTATGACAGTTTGCACAGACACAGAAAGGACTTCGATGACCACTTGACCCTCTACCACTTTCTCAGACGTTGCAGATCATATCTTCATGTCTTGTCTAGAAAGCGACACAAACCCCAGTCTGCACTTGTCATGCATTCACTCACTACTGATGCATTGTATGATTGCATCATTCTGTCCAATCGGTTCCAGTATATGTAAATGACCTTTCTTTTTTCTGTTGCTTTGCCTCAACTTGTCTATTCAGCTGGCATTTAGATGATTTCCTTTTCTGAGAATGTAAACTGAATACGTTTTCATAGCATCTAATAATTAATTACTGATAGTTAAGCATAATGGTTGTTTTGAGTAAATGATTTTTATTTTTCTGATCCTCTCTTGAAAAAGAGAGCTTGATCTCAATGAGCAATCCGGAGTAAACAGAGCTTACCCAGAATAAATCCTGCTGCTTTCACTTATGGTGTGTGGAGTTAAAAATGCTTCACTTGCTCAACTAGAAAGCCATATTGGATGTACAGTTCTGAAAAAATATAAATGAACATGTGCAACAATAACAGTCATAAAACTCTGTCAGCCAATCAAGCTTTATGGTGATGTATAGGAGGGAAAAGAAGCAACACATTCTCAGTATGTATTCTGAATTCTGAGTATATTCTGAAAATGAAATAGTCACAGGAACATCACCAGAAATCATCATGTCTTCTAGAAACTAAATATGATACTGACTGCCAATAATTTTAAATTTCACCATGACTCCCTTGTAGCTAACAAAATACCATTGTCTACATTAGGACTAAATGATTTGGGGAAAATATTCAATTGCACTTTATGTGACAGATAATGAAATTTGATCTATGAAGTATTTTAATCTCAAGTTAAAAGCTCAGAGTTCACTGTTCACGTGTGAATTTACAATGTCATTACCACATGAGATATCTTTTATATCCAACATGTGACTGTCACACCAGGAGGACGGCAGGAATTTGCCAAACCACTGACGCAGTTTAAACCCTGGTTGCTGCACAATCGATAAGGTGTGGCTATTACAAGATAAGACGGGTTTAATGTCAGTTGCATGCCTTAACCTTTTAGTATACACTGATCATAAAAACAAATGTTTACTGTCTTTGCTGTTAGTTAGCACGTTGCTAAAACAAAGTCAAGCTACAGTAAAGGTTGACATCTAAACAGGAGCCATTTCATTACTGTGTAAATTATAATTCAAATGTAATAGGTAATTCAACTATCAAAATAGTCACGAGTTGCAGTCCTAGCTCTACACAGTATCAGCAGTGGAAATCTGCTATATATCATTTATGTGTAAAGCATTTAGTGAATTAGGTAAATCAGAAAGTAAAAATTGGCTTTGATTTTTGTAAATTTGACACAGCCTGAATCCAGTTACCTACATTTGTTTACTTTGAGCTGGCAGCTTTTGCCTGTATTGTAACTGTCTACACTGAGAGATGGTACTACTCTTGCCAAGTGAGTGATGTAAAAGCAGCCAGAAGCATCATGGAAGTTTTGGCATGTTAGGATTATGAATCACTGTGGCCTATAAAGACATTTTCCTTTGGTGTAACCATTTCACTAGAAGAGGCATTTCATCATCAGTGCTGTTGCAAAACACCTGG